TTCAAAAAGAAACTCTGAAAAGCATTTAAGTTTTGTGTTAATCTTAACTAAGCTGTGATGCTTTAAATTTACCAATTAAATTGATCTCTCTAACAAATTCATCAATTAAATTGATCTCTAACAAATTCAATTAAATTGATCTCTAACAAATTCATCAATGAAATTGATCACTAACAAATTCATCAATTAAATTGATCTCTAACAAATTCATCAATGAAATTGATCACTCTAAAAAATAAGGAAAAGATGAAAAGGTTGCAAAGTTGCATGCACTTCACTGCATTAGTTTGTTTTTCAGTCCATTAACTTTTGCGGAGCAGCTTTCCCCATCAATCATCATGAACCTCATCACCTCAAAGGTGTATCGCAGCTCTTTGGGATAGTTGATATTTAAAATGTAAAGCAGTCCAAACAATGTGAAAAAGGCATTTGGAATGTCTGGGAGATCCACAATGACAATCTCCCCCTCCAGTATCACAGCCATATTCACGACGTTGTCTGGGAAGGCACAATCTTGTCTAGTGTCCTCGCTCACTGACAAGATGCCCACCTTAACACTCTGAATAACATCGCTCTCATTGTCAGTCAGCTAGAAAAGAAAGAGAGAGAGATTAAAGATTCAGCGGTGGACTAGAACTTTCATTACCACATTAAACATACATTATCAAAATGTTAACCGGCATTTCAAATGCATTTATTTCCAAGAGAGAATACTGATTTGTATAGAGGGTATGCGCGTGACGCCACCGTCGGCCTGAGTGACTGCGGTTACACACACACACACACACACGCACACCAGACTGATCTCATGAAGTAGCGTGTGTATGACACGCCAATTCGTATTTCCATTTTTGGCGTGCTATCAAGACGCATAATCGCTTTTCACCATGTTTATGAACGCCGTTGACTTAACGTTATTACTGTATATAGAAATATATGACTTACCTCAACCCCGTCCCTAAAACTAACCGTCACTGGGGTTAATGGCATTTATGACTGGACATTTGACGGCGTGTACAGACACGCGGAATCACTCGGACGTTAATGGCGTAGACATACACGCGGATAGCTCAAAATGCGTAGAGATAACACGCCACTTGACTTGAAAGTGGCGTGTATGTATACGCAAAAGTCATGATGTCATGTGGCACACACACTGAGTTGCAAAAAGGTGGTAGCAGTGTGAATTCCGCAAAAAACACAACACATCCAAAATGGGAAAGAGCGTTGAGATTGACTAAACATCAGATTTCTTGTCAAATCTATTTGTTCACAGACTGCCAAAAGATACAGAAAATCAAATAGTTAGCAGCAAAATTGAATAGCCTACATATATACAGTATTAGGGGTGGCACAGTACATGAAAAAACATCCTAAAGGCCTGTTCACACCGGGACGAATTTCGTGTGCGTTATTCGCCGACGTTTAACGCCTCGTGACTAAACAATGGGCGCCAATGTGAGTGTGCACACCGACGCTTAAAACGCCACGTGTAAAAATGCCATTTTTTAAAACAATGCCTCGCGCTGTGTCAAAAACTATCCGACCAATGAGATTGGCGCTTTTTCTCACGTGTTTGGAGCTTCTGAAGTTACAGTAAAACACAACTTGGGGGCGATCAAACACAAAACGGTCTTGCCGAGCACACATATGCAACGGTTAAGAAGATCTACACCAAGTAGCGTCGCCGTCTACACAGCCAGGAAGAAATAAGACGAGGAAGATGCAAGGCAAGATGAATGTAGAGCTGTTTTTGTTGGTGTTAGAACAAACAATTATATGACAAGGGAATAAGAACATCTTGATAAAAGAAAACTGTTATCGAGTGGTATTGCAGAGCAAATTGGCACCATCTTATGTCAGGGAATTAATTTGCATGTTTACTCGGCTCATCGTCAGTGAAAATCGCTTGGGTGTGAACACAAAAAACGCATTGAAAAACACTGACGAATAACGCACGCGCGCTGATATTCGTCCCGGTGTGTACAGGCCTTAACCGTTCGGTTCGCTTGTCTCAGTTCGGTGCGTGTGTGCATCGCACGGTTTGTTCGAAGGATGCACAATGTAACCTCGTGCCCGTGACCTCAGACTGTGTGTTTACTTCGACTTGAACCGGCACCGCACAGTCTGATCGATGAATAACTTCAAAGTATACGTTTATAAATATATATATTTTTAAAGATATTGTATTAAAAACTGCATTTATGTTCTTGTTCTGTAAGTTAGCCATCTTCTCACATTTGCCACAGAAGCACAGAGACAAGTAATGTAAAGATGACGCAACAGGTCCCTCGCATAAATGTAATTTCACTTGTACGTAGCAAACTTTACCACAGTATGTGTATGTAGTTTCAAAAAATTGCGCCAACGTTAGTGTTTGTGTGTGTGTAACGGAGTTAAAAATGCACTTTTAGTAATTCTTATTTTCAAATTAGCATCTTTGTTTTTATTTATCATTTAATGGTTTTGAGTATTTGTGAATTTTATCTCATTGAGTAATTTTCATGTATTTTTATTTTTGCGAATATTACCTGCGGAAATGACCCTTCCTGCACACTATCCTTTCTGTTCCTTCTAAGCTTCCGTAGCGTACCGTCTCCCTCAGTCTCGTTTTGCACTACTGAGGGTAAGTCGAGTGAAAATATGCTGCTGAGCTAATTTACTGTTTTCTATGGAGAATGAATAATATAAGCTATCATTTTCAATGTATAATGTCTGATGTTAATACATTAACACTATGTGTGGCGGTCTCGTGTTATTTTGAGCTGAATCTGAAATTTTCAGATTAACTTTTCATCCGCCATTTCACGACGGCACGCGGGTCGCGCTCTGATAGCAATGAAAGATCATCGGAGTTTTCAGCGTCCCTTTATATATAGTGTAAATGCTGTATTTTTGTATGTTTAGGAAGCAGAGGTGCTGTGAAAGGAAGCCAGAAGGCAATTAATGTGCATTTGTACTCTACAGGTAACGTTATGCATTTTTGTTTTTGGTTATCCATTACATTTTTTTTTTGTTGTTTCTGTTACCCCACACAAACTTTATTCAGCCCTTTGGGCGTTTCTGTTTTACTACTCTCTTTAAAGAAACACATGCTCTGAGTTATGTATTTGTTGCATTTAATGCTTAATATTTTCTGGACTGTGTTATTGACTTTCTATGATTAATGTGCACACTACTATGCAAAATACCTCATGCAATTGTTCAAATAATGTATTTGTAATGTAATTTAATTACAATAAGTGCGCAGTCTCGTTTTGCACTACTGAGGGAAGCAGAGGTGCTGTGAAAGGAAGCCAGAAGGCAATTAATGTGCATTTGTACTCTACAGGGAGTCAATAAATTGTGAAAGTCTTCATATCCTGAGTCGTCCTTTACATCGCCTGACCAAGTCCGTTACATGTGTCTGTGTGTGTGTGTGTGTTGCACATCCATAATTTCAAAGGGGACGCAATTACAACTCTATAAGTGCATAAATGTATCAAATAACCATACCGAGACGTACTGGTCCATTCTCATTTGTGTTTATTCTTCCAAAGTCTCTTCGTCATCTGGGTCTGATCAGAGACTATTTATATATTCCGATTCAAACATGTTTGGCTGAATAACATTCAAAACAGCAGCCCTTCTTCTTACCGACTGCCATAGGTATCAAGTTACGCCCTCATCTAAAGGCAGGGTGGGGATATGCAGCTCATTTTCATTTAAGGTTGTATACACCAAAACAGCTCATTTTTAAACAGGCCCCAAAAATGACATTTTCAAATGGTTATAATAAATTAACTGTGGGGTATTTTGAGCTGAAACTTCACAAATACATTCTGGGGACACCCGAGACCAATATTACATCTTGTAAAAAGGGGCATAATAGGTGCCCTTTAAATAAATGGTATCGGTGCATCCTTACTTTAGACTTGTCAGTTAAAGTTCGTAGTTCTCCTTATCGTTTCATTGTTTTACAGTTTGAAACACTGAGGACTCATTATCAGCTAAATCTGCCAATCAAACACAGTGAAAAATGGTGTAGATATAGCTTCATGCAACCAAACAGTTCGCAAACATGTAAAAGCAGCCAATCACAGTTCATTTAGTTTTAAGACGACATTTAGTAACAGGCACAAGTGTACAAACCAAAGTACATAGACCAAAAATAATTCTGATTAGTAAACAGACATAACATTGAGAAACGGGTGTATTGTTTGTGCTTCAAATATATAGTAATTCTGAAGTGCAAATGTCCTCTGCAGGTTGTCACACTATATAAGTATAAATGTTGTGAGAATCATCAGTTCTAAAATGAGGGAAAGGCATTATTACACATTTAAGCTTGGACTTTGAGGAAAGACTGTCACAGGATGATGCAAGACACTGGAAAAGTACAAGCTGGGCAAATGTTAATATTGGCGAAAGCCTGAATTTAACCTACATTATTGTAGACTGTTTCAATCTCGTGTTCACTACGAAGTCATTGCCAAGCTACTGTGACACTTACAGCTGTTCCCGGGTAAGACGAGCAAAAATAAAAGCTCACTTCTCCATATTTATTTATGTATTCTGTGAATCAAATCAGACATTGTTGGACAAACATTTACAAGGTTCATCTTACCTCTTCAGATAATCTAGCTGATTCTCCTTTTATACATGCAATACTGTATGTTAAAATCAGTTTGTTGTTTTACAGTAATTACCAATGCTTGGAAAGTGAATTATTGTGGAATGATATGAACAAATGAGAGAGATTTATTTATTATTGAGGTTTGAGCTAACTCTGTGTAGACTAGAATCTGTTTCAGTTCATCATCTGACAAACTAAATGATAAGCCACTCACACAATCACATTAAAAAATGTAAAATACATTTCCATGGTAACCAGTTTTCCTATGTCCTGATTTCCCATTGCGTGTGTATGAGTGTGTGTGTGTGTGGGAGGGGGAGCACTGGGGCAGAGAGAGAGAGCGAGAGAGAGCGAGAAATGGGGGCGGGTGAGTGCGAGAGATGAGGCAATATGTGATGGTAAAAGACCACATTCACTGTTATAGATCACAGTACCAGTGTAACAGGTATTACAAACTGCACTGCATTACACTGTTCATCTGCGCATCGAGTCTTTGACTGGCATTGGAGAATAAATGGGCTTGACAGAATTTCATGTTTAAAGCCTGAGAAGTATCAGTAGGGATTTAAAAGTGTCATTTTTTAAAAGGATTTCATGAGTTTTGACAAGACAGAAATGGCAGTTTTTCCAACAGGCCACTCATAAGAAACGGATACAATGCTTTGAAAAAGACTTCTGATAAACCGGACTGTATTTTTTTTGCATCTTCAACAAAAAGTTTCTTTACGGAGTGCAACAGGCAGAACTGAGCAAGCCTCGTGCCAAATTCTCCAAGCTGATTTGCCGTTTGAAGAATGGAGTAAAGCTGGGATCTTCTATGAAAGCTGGGATTGATTATTCCAGATCTTGAGACATGGCTCAGTCTGAAGACGCGCCTATGGAGATGAGCGCCGAGGCGAAGGCAGAGAGCGAGTCCGCAGGGGCGATAAAACGGGCTCGGACCATGGCTCTCTACAACCCCATCCCAGCCAAACACAACTGTCTCACCGTCAACAGGTCTCTCTTTATCTTCGCTGAGAATAACTGCATAAGAAAATACGCAAAGAGGATTATAGAGTGGCCATATCCTTTAACAAGCTTGTCTTATTTTACCAATGATAGAATGACAAATTGCATGCAATTATCACAGCTTTACTTACCTGTGTTTTCTTTTTTTACTTAATGTTTTTGATAGAAGTTGGCTGTCCTTTTACTGTCAGACATTTGGTGAAATAAGTTCAGACACGTTTAGTAAAGCTAGAAAGAAAACAAATAATGAAAAATAATCTGCTGGCAAAACGGCAAGTTCTGTATTAAAAGGCGGAATCAGTTTAAGACTGTCATCTCATATTTCATTGGTTTGCATTGGTTTGCATTTCTACCATAAAGAAATGTAAGACTTTGTGATACTAGACACTCTTTATAGGGAGTAACAGTGTAATACAAAACTGTTGCCATAGTTCAGTCAGATCTGCTTGAGATTTATGTATCTAGGTAAGAAATGTTAAAAATATTTGGTTTGTAATTACTACATTACAACTGGTTTTAAAATTGGTTTCATTTTCCTTCCATTACACAAGACCAAGGTCAATTTAGCCAATATGAGATTAATACAATGAGTTCAATAGAAAGCATGTGGAGGCTTTTCTCACATGTAATCTCACACGTGTCTCCCCTAGAGTGATATTTACCAAGACACCAAAGCCTGCAATCAAAAGGTTGAAAATTCAATACAAATGTACACATTTCAACGCACGCAGCTCATTCTCCCAAAACCAAATAACCCTCTAATGTGGAAAACGTATCTAAAAACATTCAAGAAATACAGATCGTATGTGCTTGTATAGTTCTTTGTCATGGATTGGATGTATTGATGTCCAATAAAAACACTATTCAACAAGACCGAGGGACTAACCAAGACTAGTTAACCAATGACAAAACACACCTGAATACAATTCAGTGCCAAAGAACAGAACTTAAAGTTCTATACAAAAAAGACATGACAAATAGTACAACAAAAATAAGAGCATGAAAGCATCAACCAAACGGTGTGGATTTAATATGGCCAAAAGATTGCATAACATCCTAAATTTTATACGACTAAATAATTGCAAGTAAGACTCAATAATGGCTCAATGTTATAGTATGATAACAGCTATAATCTGGGTTTGTTGCAACTGGGCTGTGACGATGATGCTAAATTGGACCTGATCACAGTGGCTGTTTGATTGTGGTTGACTTGTGTAGGGTTCCCCACTGGCTGGAGACACTGACTCTTCATGGTCAGGAGAGATACACTTGGGAACAAGGCTTGGTTTGGCTGATAGAGAAGCATGGGTGGACATGGAAGGCGCATGAGAATAGGTGGATGTTGCTGGCATTGGAGCCAAGGCTGCTCTTACTTCACTTGAGACAAGAGCCGTGAACATGGATCCCAGGGACATAACCAGTCTAAGGGGACTCATAAACGTCCTGCGGAACAGAGAATCCAGTGGATTCTGGACTGGCTGCCATAACATGACCTGGGACATGGGTGGTCTCCATGACAGGGAACTAAATAACTAAGTCCTGCCATAAACTCTAGAGGGGGGGTATTCTGCAGAAATACGAAGCTCCTGGTTTGAGACGGGGGGTGTAAGTGCCTGCTTCCGGTTTGTGGAGATATGAGCACCTTGGGTAATGGTAGTACACAGGATTGGTCTTGGATGGGCATGACATCGTATGTAGCAGATATGGGTGCTGATTCGGGTTCATGGTAGGCATGAGTATGGAGTCGTGGCTGTGAACGTGAAGAAAGCTGGCATATTTGGGCAAAACTAAGAGGGAAAATTGATCACCATCCACCTCTTCACAGTATATGGTGTGGAAGCTTGTTTTTGCAAGAGAATAACAAATAAAAAAGGTAATTGCGACTTTTATCTCACAATTCTGACTTTATAACTCTCAATTGCGAGATATAAACTCGTGATTCGAGAAATAAACTCGCAATTCTGACTTTTTTTCTTGCAGTTGCGAGTATCTCACAATTCTGACTTTATAACTCTCAATTGCGACTTTATATCAAGCAATTCTGATTTTATAACCCCCAATTGCGACTTTATATCTCGCAATTCTGACTTTATAACTGTCAATTACGACTTTATATCACGCAATTCTGACTTTAAAACTCTCAATTGCGACTTTATATCTCGCAATTCTGACTTTATAACTGTCAATTGCGACTTTATATCATGCAATTCTGACTTTAAAACTCTCAATTGCGACTTTATATTTCGCAATTCTGACTTTATAACTGTCAATTGTGACTTTATATCATGCAATTCTGACTTTAAAGGTGCCATCTGGAACTAAAAGTAAAAAAATATTCCATATTCCATTCCAGATGGGGGCAGTATACCTCCAGAAAATGTGTTGTGCCGTGGCCGCGCGCACTCTCACGTCTTCAAACAACACAAGCGAGCGCTGTTTTGCTCTCTTTCTCCGCATATTATTCAAATCATTTGACACGATAGTAAAAGGTTGGAAGACCGCAGTTTCACGTGGAGCATTTGGAGATTTTTAGAGATCAGAGACTCAATGAACGACATCTCAACACTAAATGATGAAGACCGTCTCATAGACGCCTGTCTCAAAAACAAGCTGGTGCATTTCGACGAAATGGGAAAATAAAAGCCTGGGCTATTATTTTAAGTTTACGGTATTCATTTTGTTCATATTACACTTTTATTGTTAGTTTGAATTAATTTGACAGACAGCATTCGCTGATGTTGATCAACCTAGCGCCATTCAGAGCTGCCAACTCTTAGAATTCAACGTGAGACACATACAATTAACACTTAGCAAGCAGGTTAGTTAAGCTCTCAGATTCTGTCAATTTTACTACGCAATTCAAACAATAAATACCGTTTAGGCGCTTGTACATGTTACACCACAGATCCCTAGCGCACGTGAACCGATCATCTCTACTAGCTAATGGAAAAAGAACATGAACACTGTTGAAAGATACAGTATGCTACAACTTACCAAAATGTATTCCTCATGCATAATATCGACCAATCATTTTTTGAACTCTTCCCTGAACTGAAATGTAGTAGTGGGCTGTATTTCCACACGACTGACATCAGGTTCAAGTACACACACAAGCTGCTCGAGACGCAAGTTACTCGTCTATTGCAGTTTGGCTGGTGGTAATGTTGCCCGCCCACATACCGCCTCCCATGGCCGAAACTGGTATTACGACACCTGCCGGGCCGGGGCTAGTAATTTAGCATGCTAATTTAGGTTATATCTCGGCAGCACTATAACTTGTCAGTTTTTTTGTTACATCATTGCACTTATTTCTTCTCATTCTTTTGATGCGTGTAGCTCATTTTTGGGATATTTTTACCTCAATTATTACATATGGCACCTTTAAAACTCTCAATTGCGACTTTATATCATGCAATTCTGACTTTAAAACTCTCAATTGCGACTTTATATTTCGCAATTCTGACTTTATAACTGTCAATTGCGACTTTATGTCATGCAATTCTGACTTTAAAACTCTCAATTCTGACTTTATATTTCGCAATTCTGACTTTATAACTGTCAATTGCTACTTTATATCATGCAATTCTGACTTTAAAACTCTCAATTGCGACTTTATATCTCGGAATTCTGACTTTATAACTGTCAATTGCGACTTTATGTCATGCAATTCTGACTTTAAAACTCTCAATTCTGACTTTATATTTCGCAATTCTGACTTTATAACTGTCAATTGCTACTTTATATCATGCAATTCTGACTTTAAAACTCTCAATTGCGACTTTATATCTCGGAATTCTGACTTTATAACTGTCAATTGCGACTTTATGTCATGCAATTCTGACTTTATAACTGTCAATTGTGACTTTATATCATGCAATTCTGACTTTAAAACTCTCAATTGTGACTTTACATCACGCAATTCTGAGATGTAAACTTGGAATTCAGGAAAAAAATTGTCTTTATATAATGATCACAATTTTGAGAAAAGATTTCAGAATTGCGAGATATAAACTCGTAATTGCATGTTATAAAGTCAGACTTAAGAGATTGTATCCAGCAATTCTGACTTTATGACACGCAGTTCTGACTTTATATCTATATCAATTATTTAAAAAAATGTTTTATTCTGTGGCGGAAACAAGCATCCATAACTGTCACAGTCCTCCGTCTGCACCAGTCTGTCTCGTCATCTGCACTACACTTCCCCGGATCCTTTTGTTGCTACTCCCGGACTCACTCCCCAATCAGCCACCTGTTCCTCGTCCTGTCATCAGCAGTTTCACCTGTTTGCACCTCGTTTAGTTTGATTCCTCTGTGTATTTAGTTCCATCTTATTCAGTCTGTCTTTGTCGGTCGATGTTTGATGTTACGTAGTGAAACCCTGTCCTCCTGCCTGTATGTTTAAATAAATTTAAATAAATAAATTCGTATATTTATGTTAATCTGGATTCCTCCCGCTCCTTCTGCCTGCACTCCTGCACACCTGCACCCTCACCCCGTGACAATAACATGGTCAACCACTCAGGCACAAAGCAAAATGAACATATCCCAGAAGATTCCAATTGACTTTGCCTGAAATTGGACTGGCACATTTAATGAATCCATGTGCATAATAAAAATTTAAATAAAAACCACAAAGACAACTCCATAAGGTCCTCTAGAAAGATCATGTTCTGACAGTGAATAAAGGCTTTTCTCCGGGCTATAGTCAGAATGACATAAAGATTGTAACAAAGCCTCGGAGATGGGAAAATAAATGGTAAATGTCTTTTCCTACCAATGCAATGGTAGTACCCAAGACACTATATTGATTTAAAGGGGGGGTTGACTGCTTTTTTTCTTTGCATGATTGTGTTTATGGGATGCAATATAACATGTATTCGTGGTTTTTCTTTTTTAAAGTCTTATTTTTCATAAATTTCACCTTTATTGTCAGCTGCGTTCTCCTCTGTCCTCGAACGAGCGGTTGACTTCCTCCCTCAGAAACAGGCAGTGGCCTCAGATTGGTTAGTTTGGGCAGGTGTGTTGTGATTGGCTAAACTGTCGCTCACGTT